GTCTAGATGCTTAGACTTTGTCGACAACAAGCTGCTCCTATTTATAGGACCAAGTTTTAGTATCCACTTCGTCGCTTTTCTATACATTTTGCTGTAGTTCGATTTTTGTTGTTGTTGACCAGAGGATCATCAGGGAGAGTTGTGAGAAAACAAGTTATTTTATTTAACTGTATATACAAATTATTAGTAATATTATTAATTATTATTATTATTATTTATTATTATTATTATCTCTCTTCTTTAATCTCTTCCTTAGACCTACGAGACTTTTTGTTTAAATGTTTGTAATGATGAACCATCATTAAAATTTTATTTCAAAGTTTCTGAGAAATTTTAGATTAGAAAACTTACCCCTTGAATTTTAATTTATAACATGTAAAAAATCTTAATTTTATTGGACAATAAAATTTAGAAATTAATCTGTATAAACTGTACAACAAACAAATTTTATAATTATACCTACTATAGTAAAATGGTAAAGGCGTATGACTGTTGCCAGCAGTTGTAGGTTCGATACCAGCTGGTGGACAGTAAACTCTGCCTCCTAGAGGTTACAATTATACACTGGCCTGTAGTAAACTTTTACAAAATTTGTTTGAGAATAATTTATTTATTTATTTTTTTTTTGTTATTTGTTTTATTTATTTATTTTATTTATTTTAATTATTTTTATGATTCCAGATAATTATGCCTAGTATGCATAAAATAAGGTTGGGCAAATGTCACAGGCTAAAAAGTAAATCTATGAAATTAGCGCAGTAAAATCGTGACTATAGTGGATTTACCATTGGAATTCTAGATTAACCAGTACATAAGGCTTATCTACCAAATAATAGAAATGATAATCAATGTGAAATCCGAAGAAGAATTCTGAAAAAAATAAACAAAGATCAAGAGATGCATATGAAGAAAGAAAAGAAGATTGAATATTGAGAGTAATATATAGTTAAAGTGGCTGTAAAGTGAATGATTATAGAAGCGAAGCAAAGCCTTCTTTATTATAATAATGTTGTAATATTTATTATAAGCTCTTAGCTTAGATGTAGTTCTTTTAAATTTGTTAAAGATGTAACATGTGGGTCATCTCTAAGCCTTTGAATTCTTTAACATTTGCTAAAACTATAAAAACTCTAGCATTTCATCTTTCTTGAAGATATATCCTTTAGGATTCTAATAGCTTTTTTCTAATATATTTAATAAATCACCTGATCAAACTCATTAATAAAATAAACTATTGGCAAATCACCAACATCACGCCTCTAGAAAATGCCTTATTTTGTATAAAGACTATATTTTTGTGCTTATAATAAATAAATATACGATTCGCCTCATAACAATACATATATACATATGTAACTTTTACATTAAATAATGATAGTGATGATTATTGCTAGACTTTATAAGCCAGCTCTATGAAAGTTTTGGCCAACATTATTTACATAACAAAAATCACATATAATTTTAACTTTAGAACTTATACAAACTTATGCGAAATTATAATAATATTCCAATCTTATATATGAAAGACATATTATTTTTTTTTTTTCGATATTCCTTTACCCTTTTCTTTTGTTTTTTGTATTCTTTTATCGTAGTCCCCTATACCTCTGTGTTTTTTTTTTAGTTAGTTAGTTTTTTTTTTCTGATTTTGCTTCTTAATAAGCGGGTAGCCGCCAGCCGATAAACAACAGGAAAAAAGTCCTTAGTGAGTTAAGGACCCTGAGGGAGGCCAAGAGCTACTAAGGCAGGTCGCACCTGATGTATAAAATTATGTAGGTGAGTTTTTCGTTTGGTTGGATCTACTGTAGTTAAAGATAAATTACTTGTAATTTTGAATAACTTGATCCCAAATAAACAAAGGCAGAACAGCCGAATTAGAAAAAAAAATAACTTGTATATATAGAGAAAAATCAGGAGAAGATTGGTAACAAAAATTTGGTAAAAAAAATTTTTAATAATAATAATAATAACAATGATTTGTAATAATATAGGAAAAAGGTGTGGATGAAGTATATAGAAGAAAAAAATGAAGATTTGGAGCAGAAGGTTAAAAATTTTAAAAATAGTAAGAAGTTATGGTGATTGAGATGTTAAGAGGTATAGTTGGAGCACAGAGAGGCAATGGATAAGTTATTACGAGAGTAGAGGGAGGCAAAAGAACCAGTTTTAGGTAAGAAAGAGAAAAAGTGGAAGCAAAAATATGAGGAGTTATCAAATAAGATGAAAAATAGAGAGGAGATAGAGAAGAACTTAGATGAGAACTTTTTTAGATGGCAATGAGCAAAATTTTTATAAAGTAGTTTAAATAAGGTGAGAAATGAGAGTGATAAGATAAATATAGAGAAAGATTAAGAAGCAAAGAAAGCAGAAGAAAAACTTTAAAAAGAACGAGAAAAATAGAATTTAATAAATAGAAGACTAGAAAGTTCAAGTAATAAATTAAAAATAAAATTGGATGTTCTATAGAATAGGTGGGCAATATAAGAAATAAGCTTCGCTAATGATTAGTAATCATTAATTTTTAATATTGGAGTTGCGGAGTTGGCGAAGTTTGCCCACCTATTCTATAGAACATCTATAAAATTAACTAAAGAAAACTAAGAATTACAAGTAAAGTTAGAAGAAATATAAAAACTGAAGAAAGAAATAGTAACAGTAAAAGAAGAACAAGAAGAATTAAGGAAGAAACTACAATTGTAAAAGTAAAAATTCTAACTTATAATTAATTTAATTAAAATACTGATTTAAGAATTTAGAAGAGATTGGTGGATTAATGATATAGAAGAAGAAAACAGAAAACTTCGAGAGAAATATAAAATATATAAAGAAAGTGAACCTAGTTAGGAAGAAGCTTTGGACAACAATCAAGATTGGGAAAAACAAAAAATTGATGTTACTAAAGAAAATCAAGATGAAGAAGAAGAAAGAAATAGTATTATCAATGAAGATAGTATGTGAACGATTGGGTGGGATGAAAATTTAATGGATATAGAAGAAATATCAATTAGATTTAATACAGAAACAAATAAAGATAAGGATAATCTTGAATACTTAAATGAAGTTGCTTATAGAGAATAAAAACAAGAACAAGATGAAGAATTTAGTAGTATGGAGGATATAGAAGATGAAGTCCAACTAAATATTGAAGAAATAGAAGAAAGTAATAGATCAGAGGTTTTTTGGTTCGAAAGAAAAGAATATAATCATAGTCAAACAGAGGCAAGGGCTCATTATGAAGCTCTGATAAAATTATTAGATGTCGAAAATTTCATTTAGTTTAATTGTATTTCCTTTAATTTATATATAAATAAATAAATAAATAAATTCTCTTATCTTTCTTTTTTTTTTTTTTTTTTAAAAGATAAATAGTTACTCATAATAAAATTAGTTAGTAGTATAATATCTTAAGTATAACTTAAATAATAATATATATAGGTTATAATTACAATATCCATCATACTCATAATGATAATTGTTATAGCCTTAATTTCTCAAATTAAAATTTTCTACATCTCAATTATAACTGATTATATTTTATTTTTTTCATTCCCCTGATGATTTGAATAGATAGCCTTTACTTGAGGTCAGAGCTTGTTGATATAATGAAATCTTATGTTATTTACGATTTCATTATTTTTATTTTCCAAACCAAAAATCTTGGGTTCAGAGGCTCAATTGCCTAACATAGAGCACCATTGCTTTTAAAACTTCAAATAGGCCATATGATTAGCACCAGACAAACTTTCATAGTACTGATGACATGCTGAACTATTTTCTTTACTTGAGAATTGAAGTTACGAATAGTTACAGTTCTTAGTAGATTATCAGCTGCTATATCATTATCAAGATCAGATTGAAAAGATTGTTCTTGAGAATATTCTTTAGGATTGGATGGTAAATCCACAATTTGAGCAATTCCATCTAATAACATGTTCTCAAATTTTTCTTTCTTTTGTTTTTTTTTTTTTTTTTATTGATTCATCTTGCTTAATGAGTGGAATTAGTACGTTTTCTGAAGAAAATAATATCTTCTGATTCAAAAGCCTTATCTGATACTTTGCTATAATATCATTGCTCATTTTTTTGCAATTCTTGAGGCTTTTTACTTTGGAATTTTTTATAAACGCGTATAAAATTAAAACAGAACTAATGTACATTTTCTTTTATATTGAGAATATTAAGTAGTATCGATGCAGAATGGCATGTAGACTGATATAGAAGACTTGTAACAGTAGTAGTAGAAATTCAAATAGCTATAGTGGATGGAGCCTGAATTGAAAACTAATAGATTTGATATATTAACTCTTGTATTATAATGCGAAATTATAAATTTTGCTTTCAACGAGAATAGCTGCTTGTATCGGTATAGACTGAGCAGGAACTTAGATATCGTGACAGCCCAAATACTTTTTTCTGACTTGGTTCTTAATTTGAGTAATTTTTTATTCAATAACGTATTCCAAAATTTTCTTTTCTTCTGTTTGTAAATTGTTATGTTTAATATGTAGAAGTATTACATTTTTTTTAAGAGAAGTAAGGTCTTTTGATTCTTAAGCCCTCAGTCATTTTTGAAATTCTTGACATTATATGTGTACTTGTATTATTATATAGAAATTAGTAATACAACTAAATTAGTATAGATAATAGTATTGGTAAGTAATATAATATTGCTTTGTTTAGCAACGTAAAAAGCTGATATATATATAATTTTTTGTTAAAGCAGATGTTAATGTTGTAAAAAAAAAAAAATTAAAGCTATATCCTTTATATACTACTCCTCTGTTTTATGTAATTCTTCCAGAATCATATCTTAAAATTGGATCAGTAGTTTAAAATCCCTTTTGACTATTATATTCAATGCTTAAATATAAGGTTGTTTGATATTTTTTATAGGTAATTTTTTATGAACTTTATCTCAGTTTGAGAAATTTTTTCAAGTGCACTAGCACTATTCGATTTACGTAATCATATCTGAGATTCGTTATCAATGATCAAACCTTTTATTCATTCTTACTTTGGTCAGTTTTTTTTTTTTTTTGACATTGCACTTCAACATCTTCAGTTTTTGAATTACACTAATTAGGTTTCTATTTTTGCACAACGAATGTGACTTACAAACAGAAAACCTTTACCAGAGTTTTTGCACAATAAATGCGACTTACAGACAGAGAACCTTTATCAAAGTTTTTGCACAACGAATGCGACTTACAGGCAGAGAACCTTTACCAGAGTTTAGTGTATTCAGAAAATTTTATTTTATTATTATATATATATATATATATATTTTTTTTTTTTTTATAACGCATTGTTATAATAAAATAGTAATTTTAACTAATTCACATCCTTTTTCGTTCTTTATTCCCTTTATATATTTCCTTATCTGAAATTGTATTGTTTTATTAATTTTCTATTTATAGGTGTCTTTATTATCTTCACCTCAATGATATGTAGCTTATACATGCCTTTTTGAAGCACTTTATAGATGACAAAAAACCCTTTCCATTTCGGATACAGCTTATGGCTTTTTGAATTTTGTTAAGAAGCTTTGTATACTAATACTAACTCTCCTTTCTTTAATTCCTGTATAGACAGTAAATTACGATTATATAGTCTCTTTGCATTTTCTTGTGCTTTTTCGACTCGTTTCACAGCATCATTTCTTACTTCAGGTAGTACTTCGATTAATTCAAAAAGTCAGTGTATAAATGTTTCCTTTAATAATTCTTCATTTTCACTAAGATGAATAGGAAATCAGGCTTCTCTTCCGTATACCAAGAAGAATGGAGTTATTTTCATTATATTTTGTTTCACAGTATGATATGTGAAGAGTACTGATAGTATTAATGAGTCCCATTCCCTTACATTAGTTATTAATTTTAATATAGATTTACAAAGTGTTTTATTAAAACGCTCTACTAATCCATTTGTTTGTGGATGATAGGGTGTCGAATAATAGTGATTAATAGTGAATTTCTTTAGAAATTTATCCATTAAATTATTATGAAAATATGTCTCTCTATCGGATAATAAATATTGTGGACATCCATAGCAACAGACTATATCTTCATATATGAAGTCTGCCACTTCTTGAGCATTGGCATTCTTTATCACTCTGGCTTCAGGCCATTTTGTTATGTAGTCCATAGCGACTACTATATACCTATTTCCTTTAGAAGTTATTGGCAATTTTCCTATAATATCTATTCTGATTTTGTAGAATGAGGCCTCCGCAGGTATTGGATGCAATGGTGGTCTTACTAAATTTTTTTCTCTTTTTTGGCAAGTGTCGCAGGTTCAAACAAACCTACGAATATCAGTGTACATTTGGGGCTAGTAATATTTTTTCTAAATTTTATTAAACATTATGTCAATTTCAAAGTGTCCACCTAATGGGTGAGTATATACTAAGAACAAAATCGGTTCAACCTCATATTTTTGGATCACCCTTAATAAATGATTAACCTTGTATTTGTCTTTCTTGTAGATAAACCCCTTCTCGACTTTGAAAAATTTACTTTAAGCTTGGATACTTCGTCTTTCTTGAAACATTAACGTATGAAGCAAAGTATACTCCAAAATATATGTTTTTAACAGTTGATAATGGAGTGGCTTTATATTGATTCGCTAGGACACTGACTATCTGGACCAGATTATTTTTAACGTCAGATTTCGTTTCAAGGTTTTTAGACAATCTTTTTCTTTATTAAGTATTCTTTTCTTTTGTAGTTAATATAATTTATTAAAAATTTTTTTTTTTTTTTTTAATGCTTCTGATTCTTATATTTCTTTTCTTTTAATTTTATAAATACATTCGTGATAACGCATCTATGTTAGAATGTTTTCTACCAGCCCTATATACAATGAAATAATTATAAGGTTGTAGTCTTAAAATCTAATATGCTCTTTTCCCTTTTGGTTCTGAGATATATAATTATTTAAGGGTGGTGTGGACTGTAATTAAGATGAAATGTTTGGCGCCCAGATAATAATGAAAATGTTTGATGGTCCATACTACGGCTAAACACTTCATCTCTGGGGCCGAATAGTTTTGTTCAGCTTTGGAAAGCCCTTTACTGGCATAGGCTACTACATATTCCTTGTTGTCCTTATCCTTTTGAGCTAACACTGCTCCTAAACCTATGTCAAAGGTGTTGGTATATAAATAAAACATCTTCTTAAAATTAGAATACCTTAATATTGGAGCCATCATAAGGTATTGTTTTAACATTTCAAATGCATATTGTTGACCTTCTGACTATTCATAAGGGACATCTTTTTCTAACAACTTATGTAGGGGTCATGCTATTGTGACGAATCCTTTTATAAACCGATGGTAATAAAAGGCTAATCCAATGAATCCTCTCAATTGTCTAAGATTCTGAGGTACTGGAAAATTCTTTACTTTTTTTACCTTAGATTTGTTGGGTCTTACTCCTTCTTTGTTAATTATATACCCAAGGTATTTAATTTCGAACTGAAAGAAGGCACATTTTTCAGAGTTCAGTTTTAATCTCGCTTTTCTTAATTTTTTAAAAATAATTTTTAGATGTTCTAAATGTTTGTCGAACGAACTTGAAAAAATATTAATATTGTCAAGATATATGACGGCAAAGGTACTATTATACTCCCCTAACACCTTATTCATAAGTCTTTAAAATGTTCTTGGGCCATTACAAAGCCCAAATAGCATTACTTTAAAGGCATAAGTGCCATATTTTGTAATAAATGTAGTTTTTTCTATATTAGCTTCATTTACCTCTATTTGCTAATATCCACTCATCAAATCTAGGATGGAGAACCATTTGGCCATTCTGAACATATCTAGAAGATCAGTAATATGTGGAAGTAGATAAGTATCTTTTTTAGTAACTGAATTTAGTTTTCAGTAATCTACACAAAAACATAGTTTATCGTTTTTCTTCGGTACTATTACCATTGGGGATGCCCAAGGGCTATTTATCTCTATAATAAGTCCTTGCTTTTTTAATTTAATTATTTTCTTTCTAATGAACTCATTCTCTTCATAGGCAGCTTTGTAATATCCTTGTTTAATCGGGACAGTGTCATCTGTACTAATGACATGTGTAGCAACGTTAGTACACTCTAAATCTTCAAGATCTTTAGCGAACATTTCTACTTCGTTAAACAGAAATTCATAGATTTTTAATTTTTGTTGAGTAGTTAATTTGTCATTATTGATCATTTCCTGCAATTTTTCTTTTGTAAATTTTTCCTTTTCTTCATTATCTTCCTTTGAGTGAGGACTTCTTCTATGTTAGTAAGATATAGTGCTAGACTCTCTATATTATTTAATAGTCAACTTTTGATATTTTCTTCATCAAATTCTTCTTCCTCATAATCGAATTTATCGAATATATTTCTATTGTTACTATATGAATTGTCGCCTTGATATGGCACAAGATTTTCAACTCCACTATTTGAAATTTGGACTTCTGCTGACCTATCCGCATATTGTAGATATAACTTCTGTTCGTCAAAATAAATTCATGCTTTTGTCTTTTGGAACCATCAGTTCCTAATAATAAAGTATTATCTGATGCCTTGATTACATGTAAGGTGGTGAAGATTATTACATCTTTAATTACTATTCTTACATCTTTTATTTTCCCCAATGTTTTGGCTTTTGCCCCTGTAGCTATTACCACTGTAGTACTAGCCTTGTTGTCTATTTCCAGCCCAAGTTTGTTTAATAATTGTCGGGATATGATGTTTACGGTGGCACCCAAGTCTAATACAGCTAATAGTAGATTATTACGAATCTTTATATAATATTGAGCAACAGTCGTATGACAGTATTCTTGAAGGAAGTTTGTTTCTGATGTTATTGGTGGCCATTTCAAAATTTTAGCTAAATTTTTTCTTTGATTTGGATATTGTAGTATCTGTCCTACCGTGGCACTAGTAGGTATAGACAAAATATCATTCGCTATGTTATATGGCTTTAACGAATCAATCATTGAGGCACCATATTTTCTTTTTGGCTTGATTGGTGAAAGTGGGCTTTGTATAATAGTAGGTGTAATTTCAATATCCTTATTTTGTTCTTTTTCTTGATTCTTGACTGTCTTTCTTAATCTATTTTCCTATTTTAGGTTCGCCAGCTGCTTTGTTACTTGTTGTGGAGTAATTCTATTATCTATCATATATACTTTATTTCTATTATCCTCTAATTTACAAAAACTAACAGTTTTTGTTTGACTAATAGTTCCATTTTCTTCCCTCTTATTTTTATAAGGGTAAATTTTCTCTGACATACAGTGTCTACTTATGTGGCTCGTTTCGCTACAATTATAACATTTTATTCTTCTTTTTCTTTCCCACAGATTATTGGTCAGACGCCCCTTAGCTATATTTTTCTAGGGATGTTTATTCATTGTTTCCATTATCTGTGCAGTTAAAGTTGCATAATTTAACACCAGCCCTTCGATTCTTTCCTTTATATTATTTAGCTTATTTTTCATTTGCTGTGGTACTTCTCTTTCAGAAGGTGTTGACTATAATATCTGCCAGCTTCAACTCTTCTTGCTACCACTATAGCTTCTGCTAAGTTTTTGGAGGCGGTTACTGCTACGAACGTAGTATTATTACTTTTTAACCTATTCAAAACATCTGAACCACATACCCATCCGAAAAGCTATTATTAACATTGACTCTACTAAATAACCTTTTGAACTTAGTAGTGTAGATATTCACTTTTTTAGATTTCTTTTGTTGTAACTCATAGAGTTCGATTTGCCAACGGTGTTGACGTTCTTCAGGGGTGAACTGCTCCACAAACAAATGATAAAAACTTTTATCTCATTTCCTTTTATTCTTTTTGTTCTAATACTTAATCTCTTCTTTAATTTCTTTATACTATTCAGCTACCATCCCTTTCAAATACCCGGACACGATCTTTACCCTATGATCTTTGGCCCAATTATTGGCTTTGGCCACTTGTTCAAAATTGTCAACCCATTCGAAGGGATCTTTATCATCAGTACCATAAAAGTACTTGACTTTTACAAGGTTATTTTCCTTAAGTAGAACCTTATTTTTATCCTTACTAACTGATTTAGTCATCAATTCTATAAATTGTTGGAATTGGTCGTTATTTATTTTTAGGTTGATATTACAGGATTTTGTAGTTAGGAAATTAGAATCTTACAGTTACCATCAAATGTTATGAGGCAAATCATACATTTATTTATTATAAGCACAAAAATATAATCTTTATACAGAATAAGGCATTCGCTAGAGGCGTAACGTTGGTGATTTGCCAATAGTTTATTTTATTAATAAGTTTGATTAGGTGATTTATTAAATGTATTAGAAAGAAGCTATTAGAATCCCAAAGAATATGTCTTCAAGAAAGACGAAATGCTAGAGTTTTTATAGCTTTTAGCAAATATTAAAGGATTCAAGGACTTAGATCTTTAATGAATTTAAAAGAACTACATCTAAGCTAAAGGCTTACAATGAATATTACAACATTATTATAATAAAGAAGGCTTTGCTTCACTTCTATAATCATTCGCTTTACAGCCACTTCAACTATATATTACTCTCGATATTCAATCTTCTTTTCTTTCTTCATACATGTCTCTTGATCTTTGTTTATTCTTTTCAGAATTCTTCTTCGGATTTCATGTTGGTTATCATTTCTATTATTCGGTAAGTAAGCCTCATGTACTGGTCGATCTAGAATTCCAATGGTAAATCCACTATAGTCACGATTTTACTGCGCTAATTTCATAGATTTACTTTTTAGCCCGTGACAGTACGTACATGGATAGATTAGTAGAGCAAACAAAATTCAGCAGATCGACCAAAATTTAGGGTCGGAATGAGCCCGGAGCTAGGCCGGCATTAAGCAATAATATTAGCCCACTATCGCTATACTTTAGCAAAATTATCATCTGGGCAGCTTTACTTAGTACGTACGTGGGCTACAGTGATGTAAATTGGATCCGCGCAGTAGGCGCAGCGCACATAGATTTAAATTTGCGCATATATCAGCGCTCTCCAAATATATAAAGCGCATATAGATTTCTTTTTTTATGTGCATTTTTGTTGTGTTTGCGCCAATAAAAAATTTCGAATTTATAACACTGGTGGGCTACCATTTTATTAGTAAAATTTTAGGGATTTTGGGTGAAATTTATCAATTCCGGGCCAATTCCGACCCTAAATTTTGGTCGATCTGCTGAATTTTGGTTGCTCTAATCTATCCGCTAACAAACAATTGTGTGATGTAGTCACGCTAAACCAGACATTTAGCTAACTATACAGTCTAACCGATATGAAATAACTTACTATAATTGCAGCTAGAAAAATATAGTGGCTAATTCGGTTTATCGAGGTTCGTTTTATTGAGGTTATACTGTATGTTGCCAAATAACCATGCGCATTACCAATAACCATGAGCATATCAAGATTGATTGCCTATACATATAAACATGAGTGTTTCAAAAGAAAACCATGTTTAGGACTCAACACTTGAAAAAATTGGAATCGATATTCATATATCGTTATTTGCTATTTATCGCTATTGCACGTGTACAAGACATGGTTACTTATGCTTTTTATGACAATTACAATCTATTACCGTTTCGGAATTTACAACGAGAATTACAACCATTGCGAAATTATAACCATTACGAAATATTTAAAACTTTGAGTATTAATTCGTAATACAGTAATACTGTATCCGTAATTATTACTTACGGCAACATTATGCTATATGATCTAATTATGAATCATATATATTACGAAGACACATTTTTCCTTGGCGGCACATGAGTTATCAGTAGTGAAAAATGAAAGTTTCTTATGATCTCAAGTGATAACATAATCTTTAAATATTGTATTCTCAGAAATACAGTATTTTTTAATGATCTTGAGAACATTAGATACTTCACATTATTTATCAGTTTCCCGAAAATACCAAATTAATTTTGAGAGTGGAAAAAGTTCACATACAGTATATTCTTATATTGAACTACCAAAGTGAAACGTTTAGTCTAATAAAATACAATGTCCTGATTACTTTCAGGGTTCTGAATTTTTATTTTAGACAAATACTAAATATACATCTTTTTAGATTTATTTAGCTACAATAAACGAGTTTTTCTGTTGCTACGAATTTTCGATTTATAGCATCATAAATCTCATAGTACAGTAGTAGCAAGTAAACAAGAAAGGTCCTAATATATATATTTTTTTAAATAAAAAAATAATTTTTTTTTTTTTTTTTAGGAAATAATTCTTTTTACATAAAAAAAAAAAATCAAAACGCCTAATTAAAGCTTAATCGATTATGTAATTAAAGTTGTTTATTTTATATACGAATAGGAAATTTGTTAAAAATGCTCTTTATGGAAGTGGAAATTTATACCTTCGGTATTTGCAGATTCGCAATCTTTTTTCAAACTTTTAGCCAACGCGGGAGGACCACAATAATATACACCCACGTTAGTATTTAAATCTCCTTCTTTGCCTGGTATGTAACGACCACTCTCAATCGCTCTATTCAATTGACTAAATATATGACTGAAATTTGGTCTACCATAATGCGTTCTGCTTTCCAAATCTGTTAATGGATCATATGAACCAGATACGTCATTAATTATTATATTATTTATTGTGGATTCTCTAAGTTTTGAAGTCAGATAAATGTGGAATTTTAGGAAACCAGCTTCCATTTGGGTAGCTTCTAAAGTTTTCAGTAAGGATTGAAACCATTCAAACGAGCCAGTTTCACGACATATCCAAAAGAACTCCACCCTTTTTAATTTTAATAAGTCCTTTTTTTGTTGTTGATGCCTAATATTATGATAAAAAAAAATAATAATGATAAAAATAAAAATAAATAAATAAATAAATAAATATAAATATATATGTATATACTGATATATAGATGTAAATTATTACTAAACCGGTGAAAACTTTAGATAAGTGATTTTTACATACCAAATATTTTTGAGGATAGAAGCAAAAGGAGTAACACCTATACCACAACCTATTAAAACGGCAATCTCATTTTTAAATACATCCTCAGCAGGAGCACCATAAGGGCCATCAATACGGAGAGTAGGTAAAATAGTGGGTGCAAATTTTTTATAATCAGAATTAGAATCACAACCAAGGAATTCACCAAGTTTATTAGTGAAATCACCAACTAGACGAACATGGACCGAAACAAAAGGATCATCGGGAGCAGAAGTGATTGTGAATGGATGCCATTGCCAAATTGAAATAGCAGGTACGTTTAAGAATAAGTATTGACCGGCCTTATAACGGAAAGAAGGCTTATCAAATTGAATTTCAATGGCTTTTGATGGATGGGCAATGACTTTTGTGATTTGAGTTGGTTGACGAGCACGGATTTCACGTAAGATACGTTCAAGGAAGTATATAATACCACCAGTTGTAGTGTATCGCCAAGAAAAATAACCTTTACATACACCTTGAGCTGTTTTTACAAAACAACCATGACCATGGAGATATAAACAAAGCATGAAGAAGAAGGCAAGATGATGAGTGTACCAAAAAGTTTCGAAAGATTGGTGACGCATACTATGGTGAGCAGAGGTATACATTAGAACCATAATAAGTAACATAAAATGACCAGTAAGGCCAGCCCAAGTAGTATAGTGAAGTTGCCAAGCTTGAAACAAGCCAAGCTGTTCCAATTTCCAAAAGTTAACATAATGAGCAAAAGTATGTACTAAAGTCCAAAAGAGCATGGAATAAGCGGTTTGACGATGGAACCAAAGATTTTCATCAAATGGAATAAGTCTATTTAAAAAACTTAGAGCACGTAAATATCTTATAATATTTCTGCAGACGGGTAAGAGGATGAGAGCACCATCATAAGCAAGACATAAACCAGCACCACGAGAAGTCCATACAGATAAACCGATAACATTAAGGTTGTCTAAAGCTCTGTCATCCTTTTGCAAAAAGAAACCGAGAATGAATAAACCTATGTGAGATCCGAACCAAAAAATCCAAAATGTAAGACGTTTAAGAGTGAATTCTTTTGATAATCTTGACGAGAAAGATTCAGCCATTTCCCAGAAATGACTAA